CGGTCAAATCGTGAGCCTGTCCTTGGAGTTTGTGGCGAGCCCTCTGGCATGGATCTTTCAACTTTCAACGGTTTCCCCCCTTTCAAGAACATGTCCACCTCGTGCCACGTGCCAAGCACCCTTTTGATTTTGCCGCTGATGGATCGTGGATGATGATGGCAAACCCGCCTCGTGGCAGGTGTGGTGCGATCGCTACCACATTGCAGTGCGTGATGCGAGTTTCCTGCTTGGTACAGTGGCCCTCCAACCCGAGGAGATTGCAGCAGCAATCGGCATCTCATGCATGTTTTTGCGCACGGGAGCCATCGGGCAGGACACCCTATGCAGCCTCGGCTGCACTGTCGAGGAGGAGGTTGTCGTGAGGATGGCTTGCACCTTAGTTTGAGTCCCAAGTTGTTAACTACATGGGTTGCTGCTGACGCATGCGCCAGGTTTCCAAGGATGCCAACCGGGTCATCAAGTTCACTGATCTCAAGAAGTCACTTGCAGAATTCATCCTGCCAACGCTTTCGGCCTTTCATTTCAGATGGCGCAGTCCCTGAATCTAGACTCTGGACCTCGCTTGTCGGTTGCTAGATGGTTCTGCTGAGGCACGGTTTGTTGGGCCGCGGTGGCTTTGGAGCGGTGGAACTGGTTGAAGACACCAGGACGGGCAACACATTCGCCCTGAAAGCCCTCAGCAAAGGAGACGCCGCTTAGACGCATCAGCACAGCAACTCTGCTTTCCGTGAAAAGTGTGCAGCTGGTAGATTGATGAATATAGGACATGGTAGAAAGGTCCGCTCCGCACCAGGTTGTCGCAAATCGCATGCAATCAAGAGTGATCAACGAGAAGAACTTGCAGCTGACACCTGGCTAGAAATTGCACACCGAGCCCATCCGGGCAAAAGGTTGGGGATGCATCTGGACCAAGGATGTGCGATTCCCCTTTCATCGTCAAACTCCACAAAACGTACACTTCGCCGCAGCATGTGTACTTCCTTTTGGAGCTTGCGCTGGGGGGCCAGCTCTACGCCACCTACAACTATTGTGACCTGTGGCGCGACGAGGCCTGTGGCAAGTTCTACGTAGCTGGGGCCGCCCTGGCCCTGGAACATTTGCACGGGAAGCAGATGCTCGATCGCACTATGGTACTTCGACATGACGTATGTGCATGTCGTGACACCGCTGTGCATCTTGTTTCGCGGGCTTTAATCAGGATTATCTTCCGAGATCTCAAACCGGAGAACTTGGTACTCACCGCAGAAGGCAGGGCAAAACTGGTGGATTTTGGATGTGCGAAACGGCTACTTGCCGGCGCCGTGGCATCTTTGGCAGACTTTCTAACTCTAAGCACATGCAGGACCGCAGGAACGTCGGTTCAAAGATTACCGAGTGGCTTTCCTGAGGCAAGGCGTACTCGACCTTCGGCACGCCGGACTACTGTGCGCCCGAGCTCGTTGACGGAAGCGGGCATACGCATGCCGTTGACTGGTGGGCACTGGGTATCCTCGCCTTCGAGCTGATGTCAGGCTGAGTTGACGATGTTGTTCACAGAGAGAAAGAGAGAGAGAGAGAGAGAGAGCCGTAGCCATTTTGGCTCAAGTCGTCTGCCGTGGCCCTCCTTTCTGGGGGGCCTGCTCAGCAACGGCCCTTTGGGCTCGGGGGGCCTCTCCCCGGGCTTGGGGGTGGACGCTTGCTTGAGCGGGGGCGGCTTGAGGCCATCCGTCGAAGCCGTCTGGCTGCAGTGGCCCCACCATCGACAGGCCCCCTGCGCAGCCATCAAGCTCACCGTGAAGAATACAGCACTTTGCGTCTTCACCTTCAACGCAGTCGCCGGGGAGTTCGGTGACCTCGTAGTACGACGATATCCTTG